CGCCCCGTTGCCCTCGCCCTGACCTCGCCAGCGAGTGCACCTCAAAGCTACCCGACTTCCATGTCTTTCCCAGATCCATCTGCGTGCCCTGCATTGTGAAGATGGCCACGCTCTCCTTCCTAGCCAACTCTAGTAACTCGTCCAGTCTCCCCACCCGACGCAGCGACTCCACGTTGAAACTCCACACCTTCAGTGTTCTCTGCTTCCATGAGGCTCGCTGCTCTTGTTCTTCGTCATCCCTCTTCACCTTCACCAGTACTCTATCATCAGCTCGATGTGGCAGTTGGGTCAACTCCGCGACAGTCTCTGGAGCGACCAGCTGCGCAGCTGAGGCACGCGCAATCCTCTGTCCACGGTACCATGCCACGCCTGCCACCATCGCGAGCCTCGCTGCTCGCCCCAAGGCACGTTTGCCGCGCATCGCCCGCACGCCCTCTTTCCAACAACCACCTCAGCCCAGCACCGTGTTGCCGTCCTCGCGGGTCGGGCACCCCGCGAACGCTCACCTCGCAGTGGTCCTCGAGGCACTCCCCCCTCACCGTGTCCCCACAGCCCACATGGCGCGGCCGACTAGGGGGGGCAAGCACTGGCCAGGACTTGCGACCTGGCACGACCGTCGCTGCGACGCAGCCGTCTTGAGCCGTCGAGGCCTTCGGCCGCGTTCCGCCAGCTTCCGCCGGCGGAGGCGGCCTCGTCCTTCCGCAGCCCTTCCGCCGCCTTCCGCGGCGGAAGAGATGACAGCTCCTCCGATCCTCGAAGGCAAGGCCCTTGTTGGAACGCCCCATGCAGGAAATCGCACATTAGAGACAGAGAGAGAGAGTATTTCTTATACTGGCAATATCTGCGGGCCCGGAATGCAGTGACTCGGCCCACTGGTGCCCTCCGACTCTGCAGTACAACACGCGCGGTTGACAATAGACGCCTCAGAGCACTGGCTCTCCGCGAAGAGGACAGAGCTCTGATTTTGCAGCCTCGACCCCTCTTGGCGCATCCTGCACGGGGCTTCTAAAGATTCACCAAAACAGGACCCCGAGTCCTTTGGGAAGGGACCTAAGTTGGGAGGGCCACAAACATTAGGGATACGGGCTGCAACGGGGAGAATGACCAACGCTTCCGGTTGTGCCAGCGCTTCGGCACCTGGCACTCTTTGCGAACCACGCGACAGGCCTAGCAGGTCACAGGCCGCCGCCCGAACTCACACGCGCTGCTGCAACCTTTTCCTACATCCCCCCTCGAAATCAAGCGCTAAGTTGTTCCCGCGATGTGGCGGCGCCCCAGGACCCCAGAATTTAGAAAAGTTTCGCAGATGGGCGGCGGGCCGTGCTTCACAATGTGACTCTCGCACTATAGCCGCGCGCGTTCGTTTGAAACATTTGCAAGAGTTTGACGGATGGAAAGCGGGTCGTTTTCAAAATATGGTTCTCGCCAAAGCGCCGGGCGCATTCGTCTTCAAGTTTGCAAGAGCTTCGCGGATGGAGGGTGGTACCTTTTCTCACTGTGGTTTTCGCTTTAGCCCCGCGCAAATTCGTCTGAAGAGTTTACAGCAGTTCACAGGATTCTTACGGTTGACGTCCCAGAAAGTGTCCTTTGGCGCGTTGTCGGATCGTGAGGGCCCAATAATCGCGTTGATTCGCGATGATGAAACCCCAGAAATGGTGTCCGGGCACGGTTCAAAGGCGTCAGGACGCAACCGTACCGTTGACTCGCGACGTTGGCATCAATCCGAATAATGCTCCATTGGCGCGGATCTCCACACGGTTGTGCTCCGACGGGGCACGTTTAGGGACATGCGAGGAGGTCACTTGGAGAGATGAGTTATTGCAATTTCGTTGATGGGCTTTGGGTTTACGTCCTCCTCCCTCTCCTCCTCCGCCTCCGCCTCCTCCTCCTCCATTCTCTCCCCGTGTCAATAATTCCTGCCTGTCTCACCCTGAAGCCGGTCGGAGGGGCGGGCCCGGCGTTTTGCCTGAGAACCTCTGACCACGTATGACACTGAAGTTTCACTGGTCAAAGGCGGGCCGCTTCAAATTGTGGCTCTTGCCTTAGCAACGCGCGCATTCGTATGAACATTTTGCAAGAGATTCACTGATTGGGGGCGGTCCGTTGTACTTTCGCTTGCGCGTCGCGCACATTCGTTTCCAAACATCTGAACAGCTTCACGGATTGAGGGCGGCCCATTTTCAAAATGTGGCTCTCTTTTCAGCGCCGACCGCACTCTTGCGAAACAGCGCGCAAGTTTCACGGATGGAAGGCGGTTCCTTTTCAACATGTTGCTCTTGCCTCAGCGCCGCGCACATTCGTTTTGAAATAATGCAACGGGTTACAAGAACCTTCATGGTTATCCTACCAGACATGCTGCTTAGGGGTGATTTAGGACCGCCATGGTGCAACAGTTCGTAGATTCGCGATGTTGTAGTGCAAGGAATGACTTTCTGACAACGTTTAGCAATGTCAAGACGCAACTTTGAGGTTGATTCGCGGCGTTAAGTCCAGATATGTAGAAGATGTGCGAACGATCCTCTGCAAACGGGGCACTTCCCTTAGTGGACATGGGTCTTTGTCGGGGCCTACAAAGGTGGAGCTTTGATGGAAGGTTTGTTGGAACATCTTTGACGAGTCTTGGGTTTACCCAGGTCCTCCTCCTCCTTCTCCTCCTCTTCCTCCTATTTTCAAAAGGTCTCCCCAGTTCCAAGTTGGAGAGGAAGGACCTTCGTAGATGGACAGGTTCGACTGGCGCATACCCCTGTCGCACGACACCTGACGGGCTAGCATGGCCTGGACCACCCAAATTCTTCATCTAGGCCAGTCCGCGCCACCATCACGCAATCGTTACCCCCCCAATCCCGTCAGGACACTAGAAACTTACACAGCGGATAGAAAAGTGAGTCCATGGCGAACGATTAGATGCGGCAGGGATGGGGTTTTCACGATCAACCAACGTAAGTGCTGTATTACCCGGTGGGTTCGACAGTGAACGCTCGGTTGTCCCTGGGCGAGGAATTACAACGAATGGACCACATGGTGCTGGTGGTGAGGGAACAGGAAAACGTGGGCTATATGAGTATCGGAACGAGGGTGAAGACGACGCGGAAAGCGGCGGCGTGAGGCAAGCGGGATCCTGTGGAAGCAGAGAACGGGAAGAGAGAGAGAGAGAGGGAGAGAGAAACAACACCAACAACAAAGAGGCAAAAACATATATGGTATGGTGTATTAACACGCGCGTATGTATGCACACACCTGTATACATGTTCGCCACATCGGCATCGACACAACGCGTTTCTAGCAATACATGTTGTGCAAGATACGTGGGCAGTATCTGCGGGGTGCAATGTAGGATGTGCGATTTATGCGGTGCAACGTATGCGGTGCAGTTAACTAGCCTGCTCCACGCGTGACCGCCTCCCATGTTCTGCAAAACTCATGCAGCGATGATTGCCATAACTGCTTGGCGCTGGCTGGCGCATCGCTGCGGCCGCGCTAGCGCGCAGGTTTGCGCGCAGAGCGACCAACTACTAGTCTGGCGCGACCGACGCGGCCGCGGTGGCGCTGACCGCTGGGCACTTCCCTGCGCGTCTCGCAGGCCGCGCTGATGCTCGGGCAAGTCAGTGCGAGTCGGTCGCTCGGGCGGGCGCGGTATCATGGCGACGTCGACACAGGACACGATGCTGATAGTGGCGATGCTGGTGAAGACGGTGACGAGGACGACGGCAAGGCCAATGCAGGCACCGATGCTGATCACGCCGATGACGATGATGGTCCTCACGTGTGGGTTTTGAAATATTTGCCAGGATTTCGGCATGCGCGCGTGGCGGACGTGCGCGAATGACTCGCATGGTACTGTTTGTCAGGGATCGTGCCCCCCCGCAGGCGCACGGGCGTTCGAATGACGTCGACATGCGCGCTAGGTGCCCGCCTCGTCGCCATTGGTGAGCAGATTGAACACTCGATCGCTCGCCCAAGAAATAGCATGAGCGCACGTGGACTTTGCTTGAAAACTCTGCTTGCGCAAACATGTGGTTTGACCTGTTTTCGGGACACTCGATTCTGACATCCTTGCGAAACCTTGATGTTTGAAAAGGTTTCGGCATGCGCGCGCGCCCCCGTGCGCGAGTGCACTGGGACCCATTTGTTACAAAGGATTTGTGAGAACCAATGATTTGTATAAACGAATGTGCGCGCATTTTGCGTTTTGGAAAAGATGGTTGGGGGGCGGTCGATACCAGCTGGGCTGGGATCATACGATTTCAGAAAAAACAATGGGTCAACATCACAAGTAGACTGCACAGCCCCAAGGGGTACTGTTAAGTCTGGCCTTGCGCGCGCGTGTGGACTTTGTGACGTTTTTTAGCAAAGGACCTTTGGACCTTCATGGTTCTTGACGGACGAATGTGCGCGCATAGCGTTGTTCTGCACAAGATGGCGGGGCGAGTCGATACCGGCCTGGCTGGGATGGAATGAGTTTAGAATGAGCGATGGGACAGAATCACATGTAAATTGAACATGCCCAGAGCGGACGGATAATCCCTGGGGGGGATCAGATTCTGCTTTAGCAAGGAGAATTTACGTGGTGCGATTCGATGAGGCGGCGACAAGGCGGCGACGGCGACAACATAGCCGCCATACCAACGCTGAGGCCCAGACGATGGGCGGCGACGAGGCTGCGACGGCGACAACATGGCCCCAAGACCGACACCCAGCCCCGGTTCCTGGGAAAGGACATCAGAAACCCTAGGTGCGACTGTATGGGGAATATACGCATGGGTGTATGCACATACACAAACATACTGATATAGACATAGATACATAAAAAAAACGACATAGAAAAGAAAGGCAGGGGGAACATGGAGACAGGCAGACAAACAGTCGCCTCAGAATGATCGACGAGGGCCACGGGCCAAGGCTTGACCGCCGCATTCGCAGGGAAAGGCTTCACGCGAAAGCAGCAGCCACCCAGATGGACGGTGGCAGCAAGCACGCGAGAGGAAGGGGGGGGGGCGCGCCGAAGTTCATCGGCGATCCCATCGGCATTCCCATCGGCGGCATGCCGGGCCCCATGCCCATCGGCATTCCCATCGGCATGCCGGGTTGGATGCCTGCTGGGCCAGCTCCCATCGGCATCGGCACGCCGGGCCGCATGCCAGTTGGGCCAGCCCCCATCGGCATGCCCATCTGCATCGGCGGCACGCCAGGCTGCATGCCAGGCGGGCCAGCCATGTTCGCAGAGGGCGGCATGACCATCTGGCAGGCTCTGAAAATACCGTCGACACAGACGTCGCCGTCGTGTAAGACATTCGTCGCTGCGCATCCGCATGAAACACAGCATGCGATCGAGCAGGCGGGCGGGTGCTTAAGCGTGTGCGTTCTACCTGTTCGTACGAGTGTACGCGTGTGCGTATGTGAATACATGCGCATGCACACATCTATGGCTAGAGCTATATATGCACATCTGGATACATATGCACATACACATACATGTACATGCACATTGACATTCCATATACCTAGACCTAAGCATATACATACACACATATATAGAAATATGCGTGAGCTTCTGTGTATGCCTGTTTGTGATCGTTTTCGCTGACAGCGTGTCTGATTACTTGCGTGCTGAGTTGTACGGTTGCCTGACTAATTGCTTGTTTGATTGGTTGCTTGCTCGATTGTCTCTAAATCTGTTCAGACTGCGGCGGGTGCGCACAGCCCAGTTGGATATCCAACACGAGCGCGGTAACTCACAATGTATGTGGCAAGAGCCGAGCACGCAGCCTGGACACCTGCATAGCCAAAGGTCTGGGCGCAGCCCTGCCACACAGACGCGCACGCACATTACACACAGACACACACACACACACTCTCTCTCTCTCACACACACACACACGCGCGCAAGGTCACGCACACACACACATCCGTAGCCATTTCGGCTTAAGCAATTGGGCATGCGGCGGGCGCGGCAGCCACCTCCCCCCCCCGCGGGCGCGGGGGCAGGCGCGCTCGCAGCTCCATGGTGACGCCTGCGCCGCGGGCTGCGCACCCCGCGGGCATCGGCCACCGACGGAGTCGTGGCGGGTGCCGTCGCTGCTGACTTCCGCGGCAAGGCCCTGCATGCGGTGGTCGCGGCCGCCGTGCGGAGCCCCGTCGCTGCGGGCAAGGTCGTCGACGGCATGGCAGGACGGCCCGTCGTCGACGCCCAAAACCAACCGAAGGCACATTCGGCGAAACCCACGTCGATTGGCGGAGCCGACGGAGGACTGCACAAACACACTCGAAGGCAAATCGCGAGTGAACTGGTGCAGATTTCTTCAGTCGACCTGTCCAGGGGGGCGTTCTCCCAATGCCCGATAGGGGCTGCACTCATTGCAGCTAGTCTCGGGTAGAGCTGCTGGGTGGTGCAACCGCGAATGGAACTGCTGGTGCCGGCCTTGGTGCTGCGTCGGCCCCGTGGCAGGCCGCGGGAGGCTGCTGCGAATGGTGGCGCCTGCGCAGGTTGTGCAGGAGGCCCGATGGGGCTGCCTCGACCGGTGCCGCTGGTTGGTGCTGGCTGGTGCCGCCGCACGCCGGGGCGAGGGTGCTGGCGCCGCAAAAAGCCCGGGACACGGAACAATAATATTTGTGTAAACGCTTTCAACTCACTGTTTCTGGAACGTGAGACGGGCAAAGCAACTGCTCCTGGAACCGTGAAGTAAGCAACGGGTCCAGCATGGGAAACCGAACCATGGCGATGGAACTCAGAAGCGGCGCCGGAGCCGGCAACAGAAGCAGCTAAACGGACCAAGTAAAAAACCGGCCCTGGCGTTTCAAGGGCCCACTAGATGCTGGCGTCCGCACCGGCGGAAGTGCTGAAGCTGAGCTCGCGCACCCTCGGACGACGGTGCTGGGGGCGAAGCGGGCAACAGAGCTGGCGGAGGCGCCAGCGCCGGTGCTGGCATTGCGACGGGGCTGGCGTTTATGCTGGCAGTACCGTCGCTCACGCTGGCGAAGGCGCCCACGCACTCACACACGCGCACACGCGCGCGCACGCTCGCGCCACATTCCATGGGCGCCGGGCGTGGCACCGTCGGGCCCTGTGGCTTGATCCACCGTGCTGACAGCAAAGCGAAGCCTTACCCCGCCCGCGAATATCATACCCTCGGGGCTGACTGGAGAAGACACGCGAGAGGACACAAGACCCTTCCGAGGGCCACACTGCCACAGGAATGTGGGAGGCATGGGTCGCGAAGCACAGGACACCGGGGCACCCCTCATGTGGCAGGGTCGACCTACGAATCAGCCTCGACTGTGGTTTGAAGCCCCGGGACGAGCGCCGGCGCCGTCTGCGCGCAAATGCAGAGTGCTCGGGAAAAAACGTGCCCGAACCCATCGCCCAGCGCTGGATGGGGGGCACTGCGCCTGGTCTCCCCGACGCACTTACGAGCAGGAAGATGCGGAGAATAGAAAAGCCACGTCTGTGCACACCGGAGCAGGCACGCCGTGTCCGACATACCACATCGCTTGCGTGCTAACAGTGGGCCCTCCGGAGGGGGAAGACCCCGCGAAAGGAAGTGCACGACAAGGATGAAGCGATGACAGATGAGGGTGAAAAGAACATGCGGAGGGATAGAAGGAGGTGGAGGAGGAGGAGGAGGAGGAGGAGGAGGAGGAGGAGGAGGGAGAAGGGAATATGAAGAAAGGAAAGGAGGGATAAGTGGTAGAAGAGGAGGAGGAGCAGCAGCAGCAGAAGGAGGAAAACGAAAAGGAGGAACAAGAGGAGAGATTAATATAAAGGGGATATGAGGAAGAGGCGGAGGAGGAGGAGGAGGAGAAGGAGGAGGAGGGACAACAAGAAGAGGAGGGGAGAGCAGGGAGAGAGGGGGGGAGGGAGGGAGAGAGGAAGGGAAGAGGAGAAACGGGCTTGCGGCTTGCGGTAGATACACAAGCCCTTGGGCCGCGTGCGCACCCCAACATGGACGAGCAGCCGCCCCGATGGGCCTACGGCAGCCACGCCAGGGGTGCCAGACGTCACTGCACAGCGGTCCGTCCTCCCTCGGGGATGGGGTGAAGAAGTGGGGTAGAATGCGGGTGAAAGGGGGGCGGAGGGGAGGGGGGCAGGGGGCGAAGAGGGGGGAGCCAGAAGGGAGGAGGGGAAGGGGAATGGAGGGACGATGGGTGGGCCAGTGGTGGCCCAGCGGCGGGGAAGGGTAAATCAGGGATGCGCGGCCGAGCAGGGAAGGTCGGGCGGGCGAAGGGGGGGGGGCGGGAACCCCCGTGGTGAGATGGGGGGGAGGGCTGGGCCTCGAGCCCAACCCCAGCACGTGGCCAACACCAAATTAAGTCAAGGGCCACACCCTGTTCCGGCGGAGCGCTTGCCATGTCACTCGGCTTTCGGACACCAGCACATAGAGCCCCTGGGGCACCACACCCCCGCCCCCCCTCCGTGGCGGGGGGGGGGACGGGGGGGCAGAGGGGGGAGGAGGGGAAGGGCGGGTGGAGGGGCAAGGGGGAAGGGGGGGAGGAGAGCAGCGTTTATGCAGGACTGGCGGCGAAGGCGTGCACTGCTGCGGACGCGACGGCGCCGACGAAACGCACCTTCACCTCCAGCGCGTACAGGTCCGCCGTGTCGCCGAGTGCCCACGCGGGCAGTCCCGCGGGCATGGGTGGCCGGCAGGCACACGAGGCACACGCGGGCATCCCCTCGACAGCCTGGCAAGACGCCTGGAAGGTGCTGGAGGCCCGAATCGACGCTGCCACACAGCGGGCAGCAGCAAGCGGCGGCGGCAGCCCCCACACCGGGGCCGGCACGTCGCCCGTGACCCGCGCCACTGCCCGCGCGCGGTGGAAATTTGCAACATGGCAATGAACGGCCCCACGGCGCTCAGCGGAGCGCTTGCGGCCAAGGGAGGCGGGCCCGCCGTCGCCCGGGCGCGCCACCTGCTCTGCGAACCACTTCGCCCCCGCGGCCCCGAGCAGGGGATCGACGACCCTGCGGGCCCAAGCCCTCGCGGCCGCGCGGCGGCCCGAGCGCGTCGCTCCCGTCGGGGCGCCCGCCGAGGTCGCGCGCCACGCGGACGGCGTGTTCCGGCCACGTGGCGCCAGACGCCGCCGCCGGGGCCGCCCGGGTGGCCGGCCCCACCGGCGACGGCGGGGGGAGCAGCAGCAGGCGCGCCTGGGCCAGCACGACCCGTCGGACCAACCATAGCTCTGGCATGCCCTCCTACAGGCGAATGTTGGAGGACAAATCAACAATAGTCAAACCCAAAAAACAAACATCGTCCAAAGAGCACGACAAATCGTCACCATATTATGTTCCGACCATTCTTGAATACCCCTCCTGTGGGGGGACGTGCCTGGCTTAAGACCAGCCGCGACCCCACGCGCGGTAGCAGCTGGGTCTCGACGAAAGCTTGTACCCCTCCCCCCGTTCCCAGAGAGAGACGCGCCGCCGGCCCCGCCAGGAGGAGCAGCGCAACATCGTAGCGTGCGCGCCTGAAGCGGGGTAGGACGCCAGACCACACGGCGGAGCCGCTGGCGAACAGCTCGGCCCCGAAAACGGCCGCCGCCTCCACGCGCACGGGCAGCTGGGCCACCTGCGTGCATGGGCGCGCCGGACACCAGGTCAGCCATGGCGGCGAACAGCTTCCTGGCCCCGTCGCGCAGCATGGCGCACGCCTTGCCAAAAGGGGGTCGGAGGGATACCCATCGGTCGGAAGAAGTAGGTAGAGCCATGCAGTAGGAAGGCCTTAGAAGTAGATCGGGCTTCCCCCCGCCCCCTGAAGAGGAGGGAAGAGGGAAAACCGCTCGACTCTTGAAGTACGAAGGCGGCTAAGGTAGATGGGATCTGGGGATGCAGAAGTACCTACTTTCAACGACCGGCGTGCAGCGGGTCGTCGATGGGGATCCCCAGGCACTCCAGTTTCGAGGCTGCCCTCCCTGGGACGCCTAAGATGTCGCCGCAGGCGGCAGCGCCCAGGGGCGCTCCGCCGACCGCCCGAGGCGGTGCTGCTCGCAGAACGTGCCCATGCCGCCGCACGCTGCGGCCGTGCCTCGCTCGTCCTCCTGGACGACGAAGGAATCGTCGACGCATTGGAGCTGCAGGAGCGAGAACTCCGCAGCGGCCTCGCCCGCCACGCCGAGGCGGCCGTGTCGAGCGGCCGCGGAGCACGCATCCAGGAGGCCCCTCACCAGGGCCCCTCCTCCTCTTGCCCCTCCTCCTCCTCCTCCTCCTCCTTCCTCCTCCTCCTCCTCCTCTCCTCCTCCTCCCCCTCCTCCCTCCCCCTCCCCCCCCCTCCCCCTCCCCTCCCCCCCCCCTCCCCCTCCTACTCCTCCCCCCCCCTCCCCCTCCTTACCTCCTCTCCTCCTCCTCCTCCTCCTCCTCCTCCTCCTCCTCCTCCTCCTCCTCCTCCGCGCGCCTCCCTTGGCCCACGGTGTAGTCCAGCAAGATGATGGCCGGGGACACCGAGGGCACCCGCCAAGCGCGGACGTGCTCGGCGCCTATGGACGCCTCGGCGTCCGGCCCTCTGCCCCAGGGGGCCGGCGGCGCGCACTTGCACCCGCAACGCGTCGCGCCATGCGAGGTCGTAGCCAGGGAGGTCGGCCTTGAGCCAGAGGGTACGCAGCCAGGCGGCGGCGCGAGCCTGCAGCACCACGAGGAGGCCAAGCGCCATGAGCATCGGGTTGTCTGGCTCCACCCCCTGGGCCTCGGCCGCGAACTCCTCCGGCAGCTGGCGCACCGAGGACAACCACGCCGTGTCGAAGACGCACTCCAGGCCGTCAACGTGCAAAACGGGCCGCGTGAGCGCGAGCGCGGTGGCGACAACGAGGCCCCGCTACCGCACGGGCGCGACCTCCGGTTCCCACAGCCTCGCGCCGAGGCCACAGCACACGGCTAGGCTCAGGAGGGACCGCGTGAGCAGCCGCGCTCCCTCCACGGCCCTCGGCCCTGCCGGCCGCACGGGGCAGAAGGAGGATCTGGCGGTGGACGAGGGGGAAAACGAAGTTGAGGTAGGGAGGAAGGGAGGAAGATGGATGTCCTTGATGGAATGGGGGGCGGGCACGGGGGGGGAGGGAGGGCACGAACTCGAATGGCGCAGTCCTTGCCCAGGAGCTTCCTCACCGCCTTCCGCACTGCCTTCGTCAGCGGCAGCGGTCTGACCTCGCGGCAGCGAACCTGCTCATCCCTGTCCTCTTCCTCCCTCCTCACTCTGCTCCGTCCCTCCCTCCTCTTTCTCCTCCCTCCCTCCCTCCCTTCCTCCTCCTGCTCCCGCCCCCGTCTCTTCATCCTCCTCCGTCTCCTCCGCCTCCTCCTCCTCCACCTCCTCCTCCTCTTCCTCCTCCTCCTCCTCCTCCTGCTCCTGCTCCTGCTCCTGCTCCTCCTCCTCCTCCTCCTCCTCCTCCTCCTCCTCCTCCTCATCCTCATCATCATCATCATCATCATCATCATCATCATCATCATCATCATCATCATCATCATCATCATCATCATCATCATCATCATCATCATCAGCAGCAGCAGCAAGCATCATCATCATCATCATCATCATCATCATCATCATCATCATCATCATCATCATCATCATCATCATCATCATCGTCATCATCATCATCATCATCATCATCATCATCATTCTCATCAGCATCATCATCATCAGCATCATCATCATCATCAGCATCAGCAGCAGCAGCAGCAGCATCATCATCATCCTTATCCTCATCCTCATCCTCATCCTCATCCTCATCCTCATCATCATCATCATCATCATCAGCATCATCATCATCATCCCCCTCCTCCTCCGCCTCCTCCTCCTTCTTCCTCCTCCTCCTCCTCCCCTTTCCTCCGCTTCCTCCTCCTCCTCTTTCTCCTCCTTTTTTACGTTAGCCGGACATTAGGTGCGAGCCTGTTGCGTTTCTCTTCCTCCTCCTCCTCCTCCTCCTCCTCCTTCTCCCCCTCGTTCGCCACCACATCTGATTCCCTCATCTTCCTCCTCCCTCCCACCCCATTCCCTCATCCCCCTCCTCCTCTCATAAATGCGTTCCGCATCTTCCCTTCCCCTCCGCCACCCATTCCTCCTCCTCCTCCTCCTCCTCCTCCTCATCTTCCTCCTCCTCCTCATCATCCTCCTATTCCACTCCTCCCACTCTTACTGCCTGCTCGTCTGTCCTCCTCCTCCTCCTCCTCCTCCTCGAGCCTCGTTCCCTCCGCCGGGTCCTCCTTTCTTCTCCGTCGCAACTCCCCATCATTATTTCACCTTCTCTTCGTCCGCCGGCTCCTCCTCCCTCCTCGCTCCGACTGCCTAATCCCTCGCCCTCCACCTCCTCCTCCTCCTCCTCCTCCTCCTCCTTCCACACTCCTCCTCATCCTCCTCTTCCTCCTCCTCCTTTCCTTACTCATCCTCCTCCTCCTCCTCCACCTCCTCCTCCTCCTCCACCTCCTCCTCCTCGCTCTCTCCTCCACCTCGTTCTTGCTCACAGACGTTTAGGACACATGCGTGCCGAGTGTATCGCTCCAACGCGACGCTCTCGTCCTCTCCAGCGGGGTGGGGCGGCGCGGGGTCGAGGGCCTCCCGAGGGATGGCGGCAATAGGCTCACTGAAGGCAGACGTGCTTGACTTCCGTAGGCTCACTGCCGCCACCTCGAAAGCAACGTCTGCTTTCAGCAAGAACCAATTTGCCTCCAATGCGCTCATCACCACCATCCCGTGGCAAGCATGCCGTCGCAACCGGTTCGGGAAGCCCTGAACCCCGAAAAGCTGCCATCTCTGGAGGCCTCATGTGTTACTTCCGCCCGCTGGCGGAGACGGACTCGATTGACTCCCGCGGGCTTCCGCTGCCCTCCCGCCACCTTCCGCCGAGGAAGTGATGGCAGCTCCGTCGGTCCTCGAAGGCAAGACCCTCTCTGGCACGCCAGTTCTGGCTGAGGAGCGCTCCGGCGGAAGCGCGCAGCGTCCCTGGGTCACCAGCCTGCGGCCCCGGCCCTCCCTCCAGTCACTGGCCATCGCTCAGACGTCCATTCCCTGTGTTGCTTTTCGGTTTCGTGCGTGGTTCTTTGGCCACATGATCCGGGATGCTCCTCGATGGCTCTCGCCGAAGGCAAAATGCACACGTCCGAGCGATGCCGAGGAGGCCCTTTCCTGCGGGACAAACCTCCGTTTAGTAAACCACCCTGTAGTGAAAGCGGCCTTCGACCAAAATCGACGGGCCTGGACCCGCACAAATGACGGCCGCGACGCCCTCTCGCGAACCGAAAACGGCTGATTCGCTAGTCGACGTGTCAGGGTAGGAGGTCTGTCCACCCCCGACAGAGGCCCTCTCCTGCGGGGCGGGCGGGCGCGGTTTTTTGATGTTTTTTGCGGTTTCGTGCGTGGTTTTTTGGCCGCATGATCCGGGATGCCCCTCGATGGCCCTCGCCGAAGGCAAAATGCACACGTCCGAGCGATGCCGAGGTCATCCAGAGGCCCTCGCCTGCGGGGCGGGCCAGGCGCGGGCCGGGAGCGCGGGCCTCCGCCAGCGCGTGGGCGCCGGGGCAGCCGGGGCCCCGGTCGCAGGGCAGGCCCTCCACCGCGGCGCTGCAGGGGAAGCACCTCGGCGGCCCGCGGCCGGGTCGCAGGGCGGCTGGTGCGGCCGAGGATTGCGCTGATGTGTTTCTCCATCAAGGCGTCGACTGGTGCATGCCCAAGATGATCCCAAGCAGAAGGCGCGAATGTCCAAAAACAAGCACATCGTGTAAGAGCACAACGCGCAGGGCTGGGTCGGAGCAACCTCAGGAGTAGCCTCAGGAGGCCTGGAGTGACCTCAGGAGGTCTTCAGACCCCCCCCCCCCCCCGAATAATGGAGACTCATTTTCTCATCGACGCTCTTACTGCCGGACTGCTGGGGCCCCAAATATCGTAGAAACTGGGGGGGGGGACCCCAGACTAAAAACCTTCTGAGGCTAGACGGGGCGGCTGGCAAGCCCTTGGCCACGGTGCAGCCGACGACCGGCCGGGCCAGCAGCGAGTCCGAGCCCCACCGGGGCTGGCAGGCCGCAGGCAGCACGCGAGGGCGCGGCGGCGCGGCGGCGGCGCCGCGGACGAGACCGAACCGACAGATAGCAACCGGCTGCGACGCAATCGAACCGGCCGGTCGGACCATGGACACCCTCGGACGCGCGCACTTCGTCCTCGCCTTCGTCGCCCGCGCCTGCTTTTCCCCACGTGTTTCGTGGGGTTCTGGTTTTCTTCTCTGCCGCGTCGCACCCGCGCCTCCTCACACACACACACACACACCTCCCCTCCCCCCCCCCCCCCACACACACACAGCACAGCACAGCTCAGCTCAGCACAGCACAGCTCAGCACGGCACAGCTCACCGCAGCACAGCACAGGTGCGCAGGGGGTGGTCCCTCAGCGCGGTCTCTATGCGCGCCAGGGTCGTAGAGCGTGGCAGGGGTGGCATTTTCCAGACACCAGAGAGGGGGCACAGGGGGTGGTCCCTCAGCGCGGTCTCTATGCGCGCCAGGGTCGGAAAGCGTGGCAGGTGTGGCACTCTCTCGACACCAGAGAGGGTGCGCAGGGGGTGGTCCCTCAGCGCGGTCACTATGCGCGCCAGGGTCGGGGAGCGTGGCAGGGGTGGCACTTTCCCGACACCAAAGAGGGTGCGCAGGGGGTGGTCCCTCAGCGCGGTCTCTATGCGTGCCAGGGTCGGAGAGCGTGGCAGGGGTGGCACTTTCTCGACACCAGAGAGGGTGCGCAGGGGGTGGTCCCTCAGCGCGGTCTCTATGCGTGCCAGGGTCGGAGAGCGTGGCAGGGGTGGCACTTTCTCGACACCAGAGAGGGTGCGCAGGGGGTGGGTCCCTCACGCGGCTCTATGCGTGCCAGGGTCGGAGAGCGTGGCAGGTGCATTTTCTCGACACCAGAAGATGGTGCGCAGGGGGTGTCCCGCAGCGCGGTCTTTTGCGTGCTCAGGGTCGCGAGCGTGGCAGGCGTGGCAACTTTCTCGACACCATGAGAGGGTGCGCAGGGGTTTGTCCCATCATCGCGGTCTCTATGCGCGCCAGGGCCGGAGAGCGTGGCGGGGGTGGCATTTTCCCGACACCAGAGAGGGTGCTCAGGGGGTGGTCCCTCAGCGCGGTCTCTATGCGTGCCAGGGTCGGAGAGCGTAGCAGGGGTGGCACTTTCTCGACACCAGAGAGGGTGCGCAGGGGGTGTGGTCCCTCAGCGCGGTCTCTATGCGCGCCAGGGTCGGAGAGCGTGGCAGGGGTGGCACTTTCCCGACACCAGAGAGGGTGCGCAGGGGGTGGTCCCTCAGCGCGGTCTCTATGCGCGCCAGGGTCGGAAAGCGTGGCACGGGTGGCATTTTCCCGACACCAGAGAGGGTGCGCAGGGGGTGGTCCCTCAGCGCGGCCTCTATGCGTGCCAGGGTCGGAGAGCGTGGCAGGGGTGGCACTTTCCCGACACCAGAGAGGGTGCGCAGGGGGTGGGCCCTCAGCGCGGTCTCTATGCGCGCCAGAGTCGGAGAGCGTGGCAGGGGTGGCGCTTTCCCGACACCAGAGAGGGTGCGCAGGGAGTGGTCCCTCAGCGCGGTCTCTATGCGTGCCAGGGTCGGAGAGCGTGGCAGGGGTGGCACTTTCTCGACACCAGAGAGGGTGCGAAGGGGGTGGTCCCTCAGCGCGGTCTCTATGCGTGCCAGAATCAGAAAGCGTGGCAAGGGTGGCACTTTCTCGACACCAGAGAGGGTGCGCAAGGGGGGGCCCCTCAGCGCGGTCTCTATGCGTGCCAGGGTCGGAGGGCGTGGCAGGGGTGGCATTTTCTCGACACCAGAGAGGGTGCGCAGGGGGTGGTCCCTCAGCGCGGTCCCTATGCGTGCCAGGGTCGGAGAGCGTGGCAGGGGTTGCACTTTCCCGACACCAGAGAGGGTGCGCAGGGGGTGGTCCCTCAGCGCGGTCCCTATGCGTGGCAGTGTCGGGGAGCGTGGCAGTGGTGGCACTTTCTCGACACCAGAGAGGGTGCGCAAGGGGTGGTTCCTCAGCGCGGTTTCTATGCGTGCCAGGTTCGGAGAGCGTGGCAGGGGTGGCACTTTCTCGACACCCGAGAGGGTGCGCAGAGGGTGGTCCCTCAGCGCGGTCTCTATGCGTGCCAGAATCAGAAAGCGTGGCAAGGGTGGCACTTTCTCGACACCAGAGAGGGTGCGCAGGGGGTGGTCCCTCAGCGCGGTCTCTATGCGTGCCAGGGTCGGAGGCCGTAGCAAGCGCGGCATATTCTCGACACCATAGGGGGTGCGCACGGGGGGGGTGGTCCCTGAGGGCGGCCGCTATCCGTGACAGTCGTCCAGGGCATAGCAGGCGTTGCATATTCTCCACAACATATAGGGGGGGCGCAGGGGGGTGGTCCCTGAGGGCGGCCGTTATCCGTGACGGTCGTCCATGGCATAACAGGCGTGGCATATCCTCCACACCATAGGGGGAACGCACGGGGTTGGTCCCTGGGGGCGGCCGCTATCCGTGACGGTGGTCCAGGCCGTAGCAGGCGTAGCATATTCTCGACACCATAGGGGGTGCGTTGGGGGGGGTCCCTGAGGGCGGCCGTTATCCGTGACGGTCGTCCAGGGCATAGCAGGCGTGGCATATCCTCCACACCATAGGGGGTGCGCACGGGGTTGGTCCCTGGGGGCGGCCGCTATCCGTGACGGTGGTCCAGGCCGTAGCAGGCGTGGCATATTCTCGACACTATAGGGGGTGCGTTAGGGGGGGTCCCTGAGGGCGGCCGCTAGCCGGGACGGTGGCCCAGGCCGTAGCAAGCGTGGCATATTCTCGACACCGTAAAGGGGGTGCGCACGGGGTTGGTCCCTGGGGGCGGCCGCTATCCGTGACGGTGGACCAGGCCGTAGCATGCGTGGCATATTCTCGACAGTATAGGGGGTGCGCACGGGGTGGTCCCTGGGGGCAGCCGCTATCCGTGACGGTGGACCAGGCCGTAGCAGGCGTGGCATATTCTCGACACCGAAGGGGGTGCGCAGTGGGTGGTCCCTGAGGGCGGCCGCTATCCGTGACAGTCGTCCAGGGCATAGCAGGCGTTGCATATTCTCGACACCGTAGGGGGTGCGCAGGGGGTGGTCCGTGAGGGCGGCCGCTATCCGTGACGGTCGTCCAGGGCAAAGCAGGCGTGGCAGATTCTCGACACCATCGGGGGTGCGCAGGGGGTGGTCCCTGAAGGCGGCCGCTATCCGTGACGGCGGTCCAGGCCGTAGCAGGCGTGGCAATACCTCGGCACCATGGGGGGGGGGAACGGGGTGGTCCCTGGGGGCGGCCGCTATCCGTTACGGTGGTCCAGGGCATAGCAGGCGTGGCATATTCTCGACACCATCGGGGGTGCGCTGGGGGTGGTCTCCGAGGGCGCCGGCTATCCGTGACGGTCGTCCAGGGCATAGCAGGCATGGCATATTCCCGACACCACAGGGGGTGCCCACGGGGTGGTCTTTCAGCGCGGCCGCTATCCGTGACGGTAGTGCTCAAGGCACATCGGTACGCAAGATTGCTATCCGTGTCAGTCGTGCTTAGGGCACAGGGAAACGCAAGCGAGGTTAGTGGTGTTATCATCAAGCATTTGTAGCCACCTTGGCTCATGCTGTCTCAGGCCGTTCGGGTTTGTACGCAGGCGTGCTCGCGCCAGTGATTGTTCGTCAAAGATGCGGCGCCCGTCATGGCGCCCAAATGTGCCATGTCCGCGCTGCCGCCTCCGTGCGAGCAACTCAAGGACTCAATGCTCGAAACATTCGCGACGAGGGTTCAAAACGCAGGGTGTGGCACATATGATAATGGTAAGCAAACACATAAGATTTTAAATAAATATGTGGGGGTTCCTCGGTAGCGTAATTCGTAGTAGTGGTCATAAACACAATAATGGTAATCGTACTAGCAATGCTAGTTGTAGTCTTACTTGTGCTGGTAATTGTAGTGATTGTCGTAGTAGTAGTAGTAGTAGTAGTAGTAGTAGTAGTAGTAGTAGTCGTAGTAGTAGTAGTAGTAGTAGTAGTAGTAGTAGTAGTAGTAGTAGTAGTAGTAGTAGTAGTAGTAAGTAGTAGTAGTAGTAGTAGTAGTAGTAGTAGTAGTAGTAGTAGTAGTAGTAGTAGTAGTAGTAGTAGTAGTAGTAGTAGTTGTTGTAGTAGTAGAACAAGTAATACTATTAGCATTGAAAGTCGTAGCAGTAGTACTGACAGTAAACGTGGTGGTCACAACCACAATGATCGCAATAGTCGTAGTAGTCAGTCGTAAAACTAATTACGCTACCGAGGAACCCCACATACTGATGTTGAATCTTATGTGTTTGCTTGTCATTATCATCTATGCGCAATCCTGCGTTCTAAACCCTCGTCGCGAATCGTCGTCGTACTTGTCGTGCTCGTCGTCGTACTCGTCGTACTCGTCGAAACCACCCCGTGCGCAACCCTCTCTGGTGTCGAGAAAGTGCCACGCGCCGCGCTCTCCTACCCTGGCACGCATAGAGGCCGCGCTGGGGGATTTCCCCTTGTGCACCTTCGCTGGTGTCGAGAAAGTGCCACCCCTGCCACGCTTTCCGACCCTGGCGCGCATAGACACCGCGCTGAGGCACCACCCCCTGCGCACCCTCTCTGGTGTCGAGAAAGTGCCAACCCTGCCACGCTCTACGACCCTGGC